GCTAATAATCCAAAAGGGCTCTTAATTAGCTTCGTAGGCAACTTTCCCAAATTTACCTCCCTAAAAATCCTCCGCATCTCATGGAATAAATTCCATTCGACAAATACGGGTAACTCAAAGATCGTCGACCGAGATTTTTACAGCGAAGTTGCTTCTGCCTGGTAAATCGATATGTGCATTGCATATTCTACAACTGTATTTGAAATTCTTGCAATTTTTTACACCAAGCAAAGGAATTGCTCTGTTCCTGATTAAACGTGTTGTACTTTTACTCATTGTAGTGTTAATCTGGGCTATTTACAGTTGAATCGTTTATCTGTTGGTGTAATGTAGTGTTGTTCCTTAAAGCATCAAAATCAATGGGCCCCTAAGAATTTTGTAATGAAAGAGAGAAATATGGGGAAAATTGGGACTTTTAATTGGAGTCTGACGAATGGGTTGGGTTGCTATCAAAAGACCCGTGAAGTAGTTCATTGAAAGAGGCAATCAGCTATAGATTCAGGAAGGATAAGTGTAAGGTAACTGACCAAGGTATATTAAGTGAGTTAAATCAGCTATATACTCGGGAAAGAAATATGTGCGCTCTTTCTGTTATAACAAACCATGGCTGTGTACGAGTCTAAGTCGTCATCTCATACAAAGTGTATAAAATCAAACAAATTTATCGCAGAGGTGGTACTTAGAAGTTAGAAATTGTCAATGGACGCCGATGGCTGTAAAGTTTCTGGCAGTCATGGCCATGTTTTGGTAATGACTTGTCCCTTACAAGGCCACGCAGCGCCCCTCATCAAACTTTCACATCGTATAGCCGAGTATGGGGTGAAGGTCTCATTTGTGAGTACAGAGTTCTCGTCCGCGACTCTGTCCCATGAAATTCCAGATTCTGGGGAAGGAATGATTCGTTTAGTCTCAGTTCCAGATGGACTTGATCCCGAGAATGATAGGAAAGATTTACAAATATTGTCTGAGAGTATTAGGAAAGTTATGCCTGCTCATTTGGAGGACTTGCTCAACAAGGCCAGTGACAAGGTTACTAGTGTTATACTTGATTCACCATTAGGATTTCTGCTGGAAATTCCTAAGAAAATGGGGATCAAGACTGCTGTTTATCTCTGTTCTACACCAGGATGCTTGGCCTTGGGGCTCAATATATCTAAGCTTATTGAAGCAAAAGTCATTGACACTGATGGTAAGCTAATGCCCCTTATATATAATCCTAAACTTTTTATTGTTAGTATTGCTCGTCTGCCCATGGACATAAGCATAACAAAAGAGATTTGAGAAGTAACAATTTAAACTGAAGCAATGTATGATCGACTGAATCAAAACATTTTTTATACGGAACATAAATATATATATATATATATTAAAATCTGGACTCGTAATTGCAAATTAGTGGTGAGAATATAAAGGTTGAAGTCATCTAAGTTTAAATTTTGGACTCGGCTCTAAACGTAGTGCCATGACAAACGTAGGCTGAGGCACTTATGAATCTAATCTTGGGAAGATTGTAACTCTTGCAGGAACTCCATTAAAGAATGAGAATATTCAAGTTGTGCCAAATTTACCAGCCATGAGCACTGCTGAATTTACGTGGTACCATCCGCAGGGCGCGGATAAACAAAAAATAATGTTTGTATCAATTAAAGAAATTTTTGAATGGATGATAAATTCGGACTGGATTATTTGCAACTGGTTCACTGACCTTGCCCCTTCAGCTTCAATTTTGACTACCAATATTTTTCCTGTTGGTCCTTTACTTGCCAATGGGCAGTCTGCTGGAAGCCTTTATTCAGAAGATTCAAGTTGCTTAACCTGGCTAGACAAACAAGCTCCAAAATCAGTTATTTATGTAGCCTTTGGCAGCACTTCAAGATTCAGCCAACAACAGGTTGAAGAATTGGCATTAGGCCTCGAGCTTATGAATCGACCATTCTTATGGGTGGCTTGGTCAGGCCTGGGAAATGGTTCATTTGCTCTGTACTCGAGTGATTTCTCAGAGAGAGTGGCTAAGCGCGGGAAGATTGTCGAGTGGGCACCTCAAGAAATGGTGTTGGCTCACCCTTCAATTGCCTGTTTTGTGACTCATTGTGGTTGGAATTCCACAATGGAGAGTGTAAGTATGGGAGTACCTTTTCTATGTTGGCCTTATTTTGGAGATCAATTGTATACACAGACTTGTATT